CGGGATATTGTTTGCTTTGACCCAATAACCTCATAGTTTTATCATACAAAAGGTGCATCACGAATTTGGATTTAAGCTTCTACATATTTATCATAACAGATTTTCAAAGTATCCCAATGTAAGATTGGGACGTTAAATGATTACCTTAAAGAACAAGCTATGATTGCTTTCAAGACCCTTTTTAATAGAAATTGTTCCTCATTGGCTAAGTACAATTTACAAATGCCATCACACTCCTTTATATCAAACTTCAGTGATTAGTTAATACAAGAAGAGTTTAGCCATTGTTTGCCTAAACTACATTTAGAATATGAACAGTTGCTCAATAACTTAAATGAAAAATAACGACATATACATGATGTAGTTATGTAATCAGTAAATAATTATAAAGAAAAAATGTTTATTGTTTATGGATTTGGTGGAAAAGGAAAGACATATTTATGGAAAACAATCAGTTTGGGTATCCATGTAAAAATGATATTATTTTTGTTGTTTCTTCATCAACTATTGCATCTTTACTGTTACTTATAGGAAGGACAGCCCATTCTAGGTTCAAAATTCCTTTGACAATTGATACAACTTCAACCTGTGCTATTAATAAAGGGACACAGTTTGCAAGATTAGTAAAAGCCAATAAGTTAATCATTTGGGATGAAGCTCTTATAGTGCATAGATATTGTTTTGAAGCATTAGATAAATCACTAAAGGATATTAATTCTAACGTTGATCCTAAAAATGCTTCAAAACCTTTTTGTGGTAAAACAATTTATCTTTGGTGGTAATTTCAGGCAAGTTTTACCAGTAATGAAAACTGACTCACGACAGGATATTGTTAATACTAATATTAGCAAATTCAATTTATGGAACAACTACATGGTATTCCAACTAAAAGTCAACATGAGGCTTTTCAGAAAACAATAGATTATGTAGAATGAAGGGACGTAACCAATTTTTCTAAATGGTTGTTTGATATAGGCAATGGGACAACAAAAGTTTCAAATGAAAAACATGGATACACGTCTGATGAGATAGAAATACCTAAAGAACTCTTGGTTTCTTATACAGACATGTCTGATGAGATAGCATTAAGTAGTACTGCTTTGAATTTTAGATAATGCTGCATTTGGAAATTGATTTTAGATGATTGCTACAAATATGTTGCTTAATGCCAGGGAAAATTTTAGAGTCCGATATGCCCGGGGTATAACTTGAGGACAATTCTTCTTCATTCTCAAAGTTCGTGGCTGAATTCTTTAGATCATCTAGGAGTAACCACCGTAAGAATCTGTTTTGAGGATAGACAGAAATGATACATGGACTGCTAAATGTAGGAGGTATCTGATGAAGTATGCTCCAACACTAGAGCTTTTGGACTGTAATGAAGATTTCTGTCATTGAATCCTGACAATCAACTTCTTTTGGGGGCTTCTAGTTGGAATGTCAGCTAGAAAAATGTGGCGGAAAATTAGGGTAACCTCAATACGACGTAATCATTCATATTCTTATCACTTCAAATTCTTTGGATATAAAGGAATCTGGGTTTGCAAAGATGATTAGTTTGTGCAAATCTGATTGAACATGAGGGCCTGTTCGAGAAACCATAGGGGGATTTTCCTTTTGCGACAGTTTCAACTAAGGGTCAACTCCACTGAGGAGCAATTCCCTCCTTCCGCTGAGAAGACTTTCCTTCTATCCTCAAATCTTGGATTGCATTTAAATTAGGCTTGATATTCTTGTGTGGAAAATAATGAATTAATGCGCATCCAAGTGAAAGACTTCAGCATGAGCATTACCACTTACAACCACCTGCTAATCTTAATTCTCTCATTTACGAGCTACCACCACCCAGGTTCAAAAGTATTAGCAGTAGTTGATATTGCTAATTGTAACTTATAAGGCCTAGCTTTGGCAGAAAAGTTATTAGATAGATTAGATAGCTTTTTCTAAGTTAACACATGAGCAGGTGAACTTGGATTAACACTTACGGATTCAAATATAAGAAAACAGCTGCTGTAGCAGACTAGATTGATGTGTAATATCTTTCTTTTAATATCTCATAAGTTGATATAAACTTTAGTCAAGCTGATTCTCTTTTTGATGTTTTGACAGGTGATAATGTGTACATATAACATACCATGTGTCCAATATTCTTTTTCCTCATCGAAGAGTTGGTGAGAACAAGTTTTGCAAACTAAAACTGCTAAATGCCCTTAGCATTAACCAAGCACCAATATAGCACTCATGAGAGCTGACTTTCTAAGAGAAACATGAACCTTTCAAAGGATTTGGCGACAGCTGACACTTAAAAGAGAAACCCAAAAATTACCAGCTTTGAACTTAAATTGTAAAAAGAAACCCCGATATTCCCAGGCAGCAACACTAGCTTTAAACTTGAATTGATAGCTTTGAACTTGAATTGTTTGGCCCCTAGAGTTAGTTATAACTCTGTTTAGAGTCGGTGACAAAACTCCTGTGAGGCACAACTCCACCGCTTTTAACTTTTTAATCTTTCCTTCGACATTCCTTCACAAGAAAAGGGCTTAGAGCCAAAGTGAGAATGACATTGGCTTGAAGGATAAAAAAGTATGCTATTATTAGCACAAAAAAAATTATATATTATATTATATTATTAAATACGTAAATACATTATAAGATTTGTCGGGTGAATAATTTATATTTTTAACATATAAGATGATATATAAAATTAAACAATTAAAAAAATCGAATCTTTAAATTTAAAATTTGAAATATTTAAATTTATACTATCATAAATTATTTAAATTTCAAGATAGATTTGATAATTATACCTGAATTTTGAATTAAAACCGAAAGAATTGCAAACTAAATTGATAAAGATATTTGCTTTAAAAATCATATCTTAAACATGATTTTAACCTTTATAAAATTTCTTAAAGTCCTTATTAACACATAATCCTTCTTATGTTCTGTGTTTAGGTGGAACTTTGACCAGCGGAGCTGCTAGGCTTAACCCACAAATTCATACCCAAGAACTTTATATCTACTTGTAGAAGTTCAGAATGTAAGTGTTTTAATAATTTTTAATAATGCTTTTAGGAAAAAAAAATTTGTTCTCACATGTTTGTTTAAAATTTAATGTTATTATGTAGTTATAGTAACTACTTAATTTAATCTTTGTAAGAATATAATTTTGTATTATATTCTAAGTTAGAAACACTCGCTAAACATAGAATTTTTTACAAACTCTACAAATATTCAAAATCTTCTCTAAAAACAAAGCTCCAAACCAAGATATTATTAAAACTTCTAAAATAATATATATTTATGTGAATATATGCACACCCAAATAAATAATTACTTATACTATTTGAATATATTCATTCAAAGTTTCTCTCACATATATATAACTTATTTTTATTTGATATAAACTTAATAGATGAATGAGTATTATTGCAATAAAGATGGTGCAAATTAAAAAAAATTTTATTTAATTCAAAGGAGACTTTTGTTTATTTTATCATTTTCTTTTTTTTTAAAGATATCGTTTATGATAGATATAAATATATATGACTTTGTCAAACTTCTTTTAAAAAGTTTAATTTTTTATGAGATGTCAATTGGATATATAAATTTTATATATGTTATAAATATTAAAGACTTTGATATAAATTTATAAATAATACTAATTTTTATGTATACATATATTTAATTAAATATAAAATTCATTCATTGTATGAGTTATAAGCTAATTAAAAATATATAAATAAATAGAAAGTAAATCGTAAAAACGTTTAATCTTAAGCATATTTCAGATTCATATAATTCTCTCAAGGTGATATCCAATGATTGAGATTCAAATCTTATGATTTGAAATTTAAATCAATTATTTTATATAATCACTTTTAAAATATGATATTTAATAAATTTAATTAAAGATGTCAATGGGATGGATTTATACCAACCCAATTCCGATGTGATTCTTTAATACTTTTATTTAATTTTGTCTTAACCAATTATTTAATTATTATTTTTACACAAGATTTCAATTCATTACGTATATGTATGAATCCTATACAATTCAATCTAAAATTAATTTAATGATTTTAATTTAGTATAATGTTGATAAAAAGATTATTTTTAATATAAATTAATCTTAAGTATATACAATATAATATTTTTTTAAATTAATATCTTAAATCAAAAGATGAAATAATAAATTTATTTATATAATATATAAATTTTAATAAATAATAAAATATGTATTATATATCTCAAGACCAAATGTAGTATTTTAAATCTATCTTCAATATGATTTTAATTTTTTTAACTAACTCGTCCCAACTTGATTTTAATTTTAAAAAATTTATCAGATAAAATTATTTTATTATATTCATATGCAGTCTCTTTTCTACTTTTAAATTGTTGTTTTTATATTTAAAAAAAAAGTAAAAACATCTTATTAAATTTATAAATACAAGCATTTCCACTAAATCATTTAATTTAAATTAATATAAGAGACTTATCTTCAACATGTAACAGTAGCCTTCATTATCTATTTTATGTATAAAAAAAAAAAAAGAAAAATGAAATCCTCCCCTAATAATAATCCAGTTTGAATTTTCAATTACAAAGAAAAAAGCTTCCACACGCCAATTAAGCTTAGGTTTTGACAAGACTCGAATCCTAATTCTAAGCTCATCCATTGACGCATATTGTATACTTACAACAACAAATCAAAAAGTATATATTTCATTAAAAATGTGCGATAATTTATGTATTTTTATTATATAAAATATAAATAATTTATATATTTATATTATATTTTATATAGAAATTATGAATTATAATTTATATTAATATAAAATTATAAATTTTATTTTTATTTTTATTAAATTTATATAATTTTTATAAAATTTTAATCTAATTTTCTTATATTAATTTCATATAATATTTTCCTATCATATTTTATATTATCATATCTATTAATAATGTTTACAAGATAAGATGAGACAGAGAACCTATGCTCCATTGTTTAATGTCTAGCTTTGAAACATTTAAAAGTTAATGGGTTTGAACAAACTATATGGGACCCAAGGATGATCCGGGTCGGGTTAAATCTGATCCGCATCACCCTTTATGATTACCTCATAAAAGCATAAACGGAAAACCCTAACGATTCTCTCTTATTATTCTCTCTCTTAGCTTCTGCCATTTATTCACTCAACAAATATCACGTTGTAGCTGCCGTTTTTCCGTCGGAAAACCTCTCTTCTTTTACCATTCCAGATTGCTCGGTCCCTTCCTTCTTCCTGTTTCTTTCTTTTTCCCTTTTATTTTCTTCCCGTGCTTCAAAATCCTAGAACCCTCTGTCCTCCGTCGAGATCCACCAGCACTGACGTCATTTTCGGTGGCTTCTTTTCATTTTCTTTTTTAAAACCTCCTTTCCTGTTGCCTAACACCATTTTTTTCAATCCGATCTGCTTCTCTACAATCGCTGGCGTCTTCTACCTTTGTGTTTTTTTTTTTCCCAGAAAACCGTCTCCTTAATTTTCTGTCTGATCTCTCCTCCCTTTTATTATTTTTTCCACCCCGAAACCCATTCTAACTCATCATTTCGAGTTAGCATTTTATCATTTATTCATTTTAAAAATTTTTTGGATTTATTTGTGTTGATTTTCTTTCGGGTTTTTTTTTTTTTTTGGTTTATTTGTGTTGAACAAAAAAAGATCGAATAACTGCAATTTTTTTAGTTTAAGCTTTGATAGTTGGCACTGTTCGGAAAAGGGTAATAAGAGGAAGGGTGTTAAAATGTCTGGACGATCGGCTTTTGGTGCCCTTGCTGATGACGATGATGGGGTGGTGGTTGACGATTCCCTAAATGAAAAGCGTAGAATTGAGGAGGAGAATGATGATGATGTGCCCGCCAAAGCTTCGAGAGGGAAAAAGAAGAAGTCCAAGGGGGGAAAGAAGGGTGGAAATCGGTTTACTGCGGCTGCACTTGATGACGATGCGAGTGAGAAAGAGGATGAGAAGAAAGATGAGGAAGAAGATATTCCTTCGTTTTCTTTCTCGGATAAGAAAAAGAAGTCATCCAAGTCTTCTAAGAAGAGTGGTAATATGTTTGGAGGGTCTGCTTTTGATGCAATTGCTACTGAAGAAGATGATGGGGAGGTGGTTGATGACTCTTTAAAGGAAGAGAATAAAGTTGAGGATGATGATGATGATGTGCTTGCTAAAGCTTTTACAGGGAAAAAGAAGAAGTCCAAGGGGGGGAAGAAGGGTGGAAGTTCGTTTGCAGCCGCTGCACTTGATGAGCTTGATAACGAAGAGGGTGAGAAAGAGGATGAGGAAGAAGATATTCCTTCATTTCCTCTCTTGGATAAGAAAAAGAAGTCATCAAAGTCTTCTAAGAAGAGTGGTAATTCCTCTAGTGCAGCATTGCTTGATGAGGAAAATGGGAGAGACGCTTCCGTATCTGAAACCCCTGGTGATTTTGATGATTACAATGATTCTTCGACGGTTTCTTTTTCAGGGAAGAAAAAAAAATCATCCAAGAAGAAAAGCAATAGCGCTTTTGCAGTCTTGAATGATGGGACAGAGCTGCGAAGTGAAGTTATAGACGAGGCTGAACCCGGACGACTGAGTTTAGGAACTAGTGATATTGAAGCTGATGACTCTAAAACTAACAACAAGATTGAGGAGGCTGCTGCAGAAACTTCGAAGAACAAGAAGAAAAAGAAAAAGAATAAGAGTGGAAGGACTGCACAAGAGGAGGATGATTTGGATAAAATTCTTGCTGAACTGGGTGAGGGGCCTCCTATAACAAAACCCACAGCACCTCCTTCCCAGGAGGAGAAAGTTCAGGTTCAGCCTGAACCGGTTATCCCTGCTGCTACAGGTGAGAAGGAAGGTGAGGAAGAAAGTGTGGAGTCTGCCGCAGCAAAGAAGAAGAAAAAGAAGAAGGAAAAGGAAAAGGAGAAGAAGGCAGCTGCTGCCGCTGTTGCCTCAGCTGCAGCAGATGTTAAGGAAGAAAGTCAAGAGGAAACAAAAATTGGGACCTCTGATACCAAAAAGAAAGATGCTAAGAGTAAAGCTGCTGACAAGAAACTGCCAAAGCATGTTAGGGAGATGCAAGAGGCACTTGCCAGGAGACAAGAAGCGGAAGAGAGGAAGAAAAGGGAAGAAGAGGAGAGGTTGAGGAAGGAAGAGGAAGAGCGACGTAGGCAGGAAGAGCTAGAGCGACAAGCAGAGGAGGCAAGGCGTAGGAAAAAGGAAAGGGAAAAGGAGAAGCTCTTAAAGAAGAAGCAGGAAGGGAAATTATTGACTGGGAAGCAAAAGGAAGAAGCCCGCCGCCTTGAGGCCATGAGGAACCAGATACTGGCCAATGCAGGAGGCATGTCTCTGCCTAGTGCAGACAAAGAGGGCGCACCCACAAAACGACCTATATATCAAACAAAGAAGTCTAAACCAGCTCATCATGCAAATGGTGCTGCTTCTACTAAGCCCGAGGAAAATGTACAATCAAAGGAAAAACATCAAGAAGAGCAGGAGACTAAGGACGAGGTGGATTCTGTGGATGATGACAAGGTTGATGAAGCAGAATCAAATAACACGGAAGAAAAATCCGTAGTTGCAGATGCTGCTGAAGGGAATGGAATGGACGAAGAGGATGATGATGATGATGGTGAATGGGATGAAAAGAGCTGGGATGATGTTAATCTTAATATTAAGGGTGCCTTTGACGATGAAGAGGCTGATTCTGAGCCTAGGCCTGTGGTGCAGAAAGACATAAAGAGTGCTCCTCCAGCTTCACGCAATTCAGGTGACGGTCACTGCCAACGTTGCTTGTGGGATTTTGTTGCCTCCGTATTTTAGTTAACTTGGTTAATTTTTATTTTTTTTATTGCGTTTCACAGCCCCTCCTGTAGTCACAAAGCCAACGGTCGAGAAAGCAATGGCTTCCCAATCAAATAAATCTCAGCCTCAGTTTAAAGCTCCAGACAATAATATGAAAAAGAATACTGCTGTGCAAAATAAAGCACCCAGATCAGATTCTGTTCCTAAACAGAGTGAAGAAAACCTCCGATCCCCAATTTGCTGCATTATGGGCCATGTTGATACTGGTAAAACCAAGCTGCTAGATTGCATCCGAGGCACCAATGTTCAGGAAGGTGAGGCGGGTGGTATTACACAACAGATCGGTGCAACATATTTTCCTGCTGAGAACATACGGGAGAGAACAAAGGAATTGAAGGCTGATGCCAAATTGAAGGTTCCAGGCTTATTGGTAATTGATACCCCTGGTCACGAATCCTTCACAAATCTTCGGTCAAGGGGATCGGGTTTATGTGATATTGCCATTTTGGTTGTTGACATTATGCACGGACTAGAGCCACAGACAATAGAATCACTCAATCTTTTGAAAATGAGGAACACTGAGTTCATTGTTGCATTGAATAAGGTCAATCTGGATCTTTGTCTCAACTTTTGATCGACTGTTGTTTTTCTCCCTTTCTTTGATGCATTATTTATTTATTTATTTATTTTCTTATTCCTTTTCTTAAAAAAATTGTAGGTGGACAGACTTTATGACTGGAAAGTTCGCCGCAATGCACCAATAACAATGGCACTTAAGAAACAATCTGGAGATGTTCTAGCTGAATTCAATAGGAGAGTTACACATGTAAAATGCATATCAACTTCTTATTCATCTATTCTATGTTTTATCCCATTTTGGTGAAAATTTGTTAATTGTGTGTTTTTTTATTTATAAGGTTATAACTCAGTTCAAGGAGCAAGGGTTGAATACTGAATTGTACTATAAAAATAAGGAAATGGGTGAAACTTTCAGCATTGTACCTACAAGTGCAATCACGTTAGTAATGGATGCTCTACAAGTTCCTAATCTACTTAGTAGTTGTATTTTGGGCAATGGCCTAATATTTTGCAGTTATTGATGTTGCAGTGGAGAAGGCATCCCTGATTTGTTATTATTACTGGTACAATGGACCCAGAAAACAATGGTTGAAAAGCTTACATTCAGTAATGAAGTGCAGGTGTGTTTTGTTCCTTCTCTATTTTAAAATAATTCACCACTTCATCATTGTGCAACATGAGACGTTTTGTAAATTGAATTTTGTGCCAGTGTACGGTCTTGGAGGTGAAGGTTATTGAAGGCCTTGGGACAACTATTGATGTAGTGTTGGTTAATGGGGTTCTTCATGAAGGAGATCAAATTGTGGTTTGTGGCTTGCAGGCAAGCACTTAAGCTTCTCACTTAGCTGAAGATTTTATGAGATTGCTAGATGTTAAATTCTCAAATACTAGTTTCCTATTTCAGGGGCCTATTGTCACCACTATAAGAGCATTATTGACACCTCACCCGATGAAGGAACTCCGAGTGAAGGTATGGTGTTTTGGTGGGCATATCTTATATCATTTTAAATTTTCTGGCGGGTAATGCAGGTTATAATGGCAGCTAATGAATGTTTAAAAATGTGATAAAATTTTATCTTATATAGGAATCACTATGTATTGCATTTATTGATGTTAGTTTGATTTGATGATGTCTTTTGTTTTCTCTGAATATGCATGAATATTACCATAAGGTTAGGTGACATTCTTGGGAAACTGTAATTTTTAGTGCATCAATTCATTAATTCACTGATGATGGGCAAGTTCTTTCTTCTAGTCTGAACCAGCTGGTTACCTGATAAGTTTTATATTATTAAAACTCTAATCTTTTGGGGATAAACTTTGGAACAAGTCTGGAATCTTTTGCATTTTTTTACTCAATGAGGCCTAATTTGAACAAAAATTTTGGGAGGGATGGGGGGACATTGGGTTTTTTTTCAAAGTTAAGGGGTTGAAGGGGGTAGGGAGAGAAAGCAGTTATTATCTTTTTGAGCACTTTATCAGTCTACTGTTGGAATTGAGGACTTTAAAAGGAGATGTACAAGTTCCTTATGGACCACAAAGGACAGGTTAGTCTTGTCAAAGTTGCAAGGTGCTCTTTAGGTGCTAGGATCCTTACATCGCCAAGTTGCATGACACAAAAATGGTGTTTGCATGAGTGGAATAAAGCAGTAATTCTAAAAAATAGTAAATATATCTAAAATGAAAATTCTACACACCATATGTGATATTTGATAAGCTTTAAAATGCATGATTTTCTTATAGATATTACAGAGTTTGCTTCATTACATGGCCTTACTGTTTAAGATTAAGCATTATTTTGATTATAATTAATTAAGAGTCATCAGTGCATGATAGCTCAATGCTTCCTTTACTTTCACTTTTCAACAGAAAGCTATGCTTGTAGTATTGTTACCCCTTTATTTTTTTAAATTCTTCTAAAGCAAGTTGGTATTGTCCTTTTTTGACTACTAAATAATATCTAATTAAAATTTAAGGAACTGAAGCACCTTTTGCCTTGAAAAAGTGTCTTTAGATGCAAAAAGGGGTGCTTGATCACTGGTGCCTTGCCCAAGGGTGTCTTTGGTTGAGTTCCATCGTGCCTTATTGCCAATGTTTGCTTTGACAACACTGGGTGTAAGTGTCACGGACCTAAGGAAGAAGTTCTGAATCCCACATCGAACATAATAGGAGGGTCACTAGGTATAAAAGGGTTTATATCACCTCTTCTTTGTGAGGCGCTTTTTGTAGGACAAAACCGTGAGGCCAGGGGGGGCCAAAGTGGACAATACCTCACAAGGGTATGAACCATGGCGGTTAGGTTGATCTGGGACGCAGGATGAGTAGATGCCTGGGTCCCGGAGCCGCGCGGGTTCGGAGCTTAAGTCTCGACCCGTGACATAAGTACATTCATATTTGTGAAAGAAATATTGGATTCTCCATTTAGATGATAAGGGTGTAACCGGAAGCAAGTGGGAAAGTAGGAAGCATAAGAATGAATTATGGAGTGATATGGGGAATAAGGTGTTGTAGGAGAATTTGGAGTTTTTAGTTTCTAGACAGAAAAAACGGTTGGGAAAAGGTTTGAAGGAAAATGAAAGCTCAATTGGAGAAATGAGGCAATGGTCTTTGACAAGTGATAGAGGTGGCCTTTCCTTGAAACAAATGGTTGTATTCGATTGAAGGAGTAAAATGATTATCATAAGTCCTTGTGGTTAGACATTCTTCATAATGGTAGAACCATGGCGGTTAGGTTGATCTGGGACGCAGGATGAGTAGATGCCTGGGTCCCGGAGCCGCGTGGGTTCAGAGCTTAAGTCTCGACCCGTGACATAAGTACATTCATATTTGTGAAAGAAATATTGGATTCTCCATTTAGATGATAAGGGTGTAACCAGAAGCAAGTGGGAAAGTAGGAAGCATAAGAATGAATTATGGAGTGATATGGGGAATAAGGTGTTGTAGGAGAATTTGGAGTTTTTAGTTTCTAGACAGAAAAAACGGTTGGGGAAAGGTTTGAAGGAAAATGAAAGCTCAATTGGAGAAATGAGGCAATGGTCTTTGACAAGTGATAGAGGTGGCCTTTCCTTGAAACAAATGGTTGTATTCGATTGAAGGAGTAAAATGATTATCATAAGTCCCTGTGGTTAGACATTCTTCATAATGGTAGAGGAGAATTTGCCTTCTCATCGGTGGCATCTATCGTAATCTGCGTAGCTGAATTTCTTGCTGTATTCTGGTCTTCAAATGACCTTATTTCTTTCTATATATTAAAGAACTAATTGTATTTGATGATTTAATTTAATTCATTTTGGCAAATGGCTTTAATGAATAAACTTCAGAATGATTTTCAACCCATTGAACGTTTGTGTGATTTCACAGAATAGCTTTTGTATTTGTGAAGCACCCCTCCCCTTAAAAACTGCTATATTTGCTGTTTTTTGATGGCCGCTGATCTGTACAAAAGTGCAGCATGATGAATTTTTGTTTGGATAATTGTAGGGAACATATATGCAGCACAAGGAGATCAAAGCAGCACAGGGTATCAAGATTGCTGCACAGGTGATTGAAATTTAGTGATAGATTTGCTTCACTATTACATCTGATAATTGTGTAAATGAATTATGAGCTAATCTCCTGTTCTATCATTATCTAGGGCCTTGAGCATTCTATTGCTGGCACTGGTCTCTATGTTGTAGGGCCTGATGATGATTTGGAAGATATCAAAGAGGCAGCCAAGGAAGATATGCAATCAGTCATGAGTAGGATAGACAAAAGTGGGGAAGGGGTTTATGTACAAGCATCTACCCTTGGCTCTTTGGAAGCACTGCTGGAATTCTTGAAAACTCCTGAAGTAAATATTCCTGTTAGTGGTATAGGCATAGGCCCTGTACACAAAAAAGACGTAATGAAGGCCAGTGTTATGCTTGAGAAGAAAAATGAGTATGCTACCATATTGGCTTTTGATGTCAAGGTTACCCCGGAGGCTCGAGAACTAGCAGATGAACTGGGTGTGAGGATTTTTATTGCTGATATTATTTATCACTTATTTGACCAATTCAAAGCATATATTACTGGTCTCAAAGAGGAGAGGAAGAAGGAAGCAGCCGATGAAGCAGTCTTCCCTTGTGTTCTGAAGATTTTACCGAATTGCATTTTCAACAAAAAGGATCCAATTGTCTTGGGGGTGGATATCCTTGAAGGCATCGCAAGGGTACATATATTATCAGTTCATTTAGTTTATGCTTTCGAAAGTAAATACGTACAATGCAAGTTTGGTAGCTAATGCTAATTATGGCATGAAGTTTTAGAATGTTTTTGGATAAGTTCCTCAACCATCTCTATACTCTTGAACCTGCGATCAAGCTAGAGTGTTTACAAAGGAAATTTCTCAATCATTAGGTTTCTTGAACATTTCTAGCATATAACCTGACCTATCTGATGTCGCACTGAGAACAGTCTTTAGCCCTAGGTGTATGTGTTTGAAGGAATAACCAAAATATTGTCAGATTCTAGGATGTAGATCTGATGTCTACTTGGCGTAGCATGAAATCTGGCCCCAGAATCCTACTTGTGATATGTTTTCTAATGGGCCTAGGAGCCATGACAAAACAATTCTTAGTTGAGGATACTTGTATGGTGGGCGCAGCATATCCTACTAAATTGTGAATTTGAGTATGGAGCTGCTGTTCTAAACAAGCGGAATTCACATGAACTTTTGTTGTTAAATTCAGTATTATTATTATTATTATTATCATCATCATCATCATGCTTTGCAGTTTTCTGATACTATCTCTGTCGTGCAGGTTGGCACTCCGATTTGTATTCCTCAAAGAGAATTCATTGATATTGGTCGGATAGCTTCAATTGAAAATAACCATAAACCTGTTGGTGTTGCCAAGAGAGGCCAGAACGTGGCCATTAAGGTATGATATTTTCCTTGAACTATGTTAAATATTTTATTTACCTTTTAAATAGACTTGATTTCCTAAAATTCAGTTAACCAAGTGGATATGATGAGATGAAAATGCGACTGATTGCATGCCCTTGGATATAAATGATGAATGCTGTCCATGGTTTCACCTCTCTTAGTATAAGAAATGATAAATGAGTGGCGTAAGAAAATTCAAAACTACTACCTATCATGATTCCTTTGGCCTTTCATAATATCGACTCTAGAGTTATGGGATATAAGGCTTAGTTTGTTGTTTTTATTGTTGTATAAGAAATGATACAATAAAATCGTAATAACATTGTAATATTTAATTGAGAATTTATTTTCTAAAATATATCTGAGTTATTTCTCCTACATTTGGAGGATAATCTCATTCTTGAGTTTGAATTCAGTTTTAATTAACTGTGGCACCAGCTGGTATTGTTGGGAGGGTTATAGCCACCTAATATTTTAGTTTGTCAATAAACTAAATTTCTTAGAGGGAATTGGAGGAGTAACTTTTTTGGGTGCAAAATCGAGCTAACCTGTAGATCTCCAAAGAATTTGAAAGGCCGAAGGCTAATTGTTATTGATACTGAAAGTTGAATTTAGTAATCTTGGAATATCTGTTTCTATGGATATTGAAACACTATAACCTAATAACAACTTACTATAACATTTAGATGTCTGATATCTCTAATCCTAGCAGTATATCTGGATGTCAATAAAAATAAGTACAATTTTTTTTTTGAATGAAAAATAAGTACAATGTTAAATATTTGTTTTGAGTGTTTTCTTCCCTGCAAGGTAGACATCGATAGTTTGAAATGACTCTTGCATTTTGATACAACTGGTTCATAAAAAGATGTAAAAGGTAAACAACAAATGTGAGCTACACAGCTTCAATGAAACCTTTGTCATTGCAAGAAGGCTTTTCAAGCTCCCTTGGTTAACACATTCCAAACTCCCAAGTCTTTTGTCCCAGAATTTTGATTCTCTCAGAAGTTACCTTGTTCAGCTCATGGATGCTTGCTTTGAAGCAATACTCGAGTACTAAATCACTACTTAGATGATTTGAAGTCTCTTTGGGTATTTGGAAGAAAGAAAATCTCATTGTTAGACATCAATAATATGACATTTTTCATTAGTCCTCCCCTCCTCTTCAAATCCAAAAAAAAAAAAGAAAAAAAAATTGGGGTGAATGTTGGGTACATAGGATGATGGAAAGGAGAAGATAAAAGACTTGTTGAGAGGTATGCCAAGATGACAATTACTTCAGCTTGGGCTTAATGAGTGCTTTTTGTTTGTCTTGTTGCAGATAGTTGGATCCAATCCTGAGGAGCAACAGAAAATGTATGGAAGGCATTTTGAGCTTGATGATGAGCTTGTTAGTCATATTTCTAGGAGGTCAATTGATGTTCTCAAAGCTAATTATAGGGTAAGTTAATATCATTGTTCTTTTTCCCCCTGCCCAATTGTTAGTTTCTGTCAGATTTTTATCAGCTTAGATTGTATAACTAACTTCAAATTCTTTAGGATGATCTGACCCTTGATGAGTGGAAGTTGGTTCAAAGACTGAAGATCCTTTTCAAAATACCATGATCATGATTGAATAGATTTGAGCTGTTGCCTTCTATAAGAACAGAGCTTCCGAGGGCGGTCGGTTGTAAATTTCTGAGGCTTGGCTTGACAGTATGTTCGTTCAATATCCACATTACTGTACAGTTCAAATTTTGATGTTAATTACATGGATGGGAGGAACTCCTCCCCACTCTAGTTTTGAATGAGGAAGCCCTCATAAAGTGCAGCGCAGGAATAGTGAGTGTTTTGTCTTGTAAGTATTGGATTCCTGTTCTGTTTGTTCCTGCAGTGTGGGGAATGCCACATCTTCCAGCCCTCCTGGTTCAAATTAGAGAGTAAAATGTCTACAAATATATCCCAAACATACCTGGAACTTTGCTCTGTTAAAAGCAAATTTTTGTATGATATCATGAGATGATTAATAAAGGACAACAATCGCTTGCTTTGGTTGTCTTTCAGTCACAACTTTGCATAAATGATTGTTGCATGAGAAGTGTTATTAACCTTGCTCTTCCCTTGTTTGACAGCATTTTCCAAAATTCAGGCAGATGTTCATTCTGCTAATTAAAAGTAATATTATCATATTTTATTATTTTTATAGTTATCTATTACCAAATTACTTAAAGTAGTAATATTATTTTTTGTTATTTTTACATATATTTATTATTGATTTACTTTTTTATTATATGTAGTAAAAAAAAGTAATTGTACTTTTTTATTATTATTTTTATATTTATTTTTATTTGTTTATTATCAAATTAGTTAATTTTATTGTATACAACTACGATATATATTTTTTACTTTTACCTTTAATTGTTATTAAGTTATTTATTTTGTTATTCTAGATAACAAATTTTTTATTACATTATGGTTGTACTTACTCTTATTTGTATTCAAATTATCATTCATAAAATGTTTCTACCGTTTAAGGCTATCCTTGTATTTTTTTTATTAATTTATTAATTTATAATAATAAAAAAGTTATAACTTATTGCTACTTCTATATTTTTCACAAAATTACATTTTCTTATTATGCATAACCCAAAGTAGTATTTATAATTTATTATTATTTTTATATTTATTTATCATCAAAATATTGTATGAAATTCTCATTTATGCTTTACCATGTGAATTAGAAGGGTTCATGAGTTGGGTCGGATCAAGTTCGAGTTAAATTTATATTTGGTATTAATAGTTTATATGTTTATTTAAACTTAACTTAACTTAAAATTTATGATTTAAAAAATTTTCAAATTCAATTCAAATTAAAAAATAAATTTCAAATTCACATATTAAATTTAATTTATATAATAAAAATTAAAAAATGTGATTAAGTTAAGTTTAATAAAAGTATAATTAATTTACATATATATAAATTAAAAATAAAAATTAAGCTTCATAAAATATATATTTTTTATTTTTAATTTATATATATAAATTAATTTATATATAATTCATATATATATATAAATAAAAATTTATATACATGTGAATTTAAATCGAGTCAGATCGAGTTCAAACTTTAAATCTTTTGTTCAAAATTTTATCAAAAATTTAAATGAAACTAAACATTATATCTAAATTTTTCTAACGAATTTTAATTTTTTATTCAATATTTCTCAAAATTTCGACTAATTTTTGGGTTAAAGTAAATAATCCTACTTTTAAACAGGTTTAACTTGAACTAATGTTAAAAAAAATTAAGAAAAGGAAAGGCCGACGAGGCCCGAGCGGTATGGTGCCCAACACTGGGCTGGTTTTGGCCCGGCCAGAGTGAAAGGAAAGGGAAAAGACGGGTTGTTAAATTTCAGAATTGTTGAAGAAAATGGTTGTGATTAGGGTTTAGGAGTAAAAAATGGAAGAGGAGGAAGGAGAAATGAAGAAGTTGGGCTGTTACGGAGGGAAGGTGAGAGTGTTGGAATGGGAGACAGAAGCAGGTGCTGCGGAGGAGACGATGCTGCTTTGGGGAATCCAACAGCCCACTCTCTCCAAACAAAACGGCTTCGTTTCCCACTCTTCTCTCCAACTCCGCCTTGACGCTTGCGGCCAGTCTCTCTCCATTCTCCAGTCTCCTTCTTCCTTGGTACTTGCTATCCCCTTTTGCTTTTAATAATAATCCCATTTAATTATTACTCATATTTTACTCCAAAATGTTTAGTAGCCAAAGTGTTCCTTCCCTTAACTGAATGCTTACCAATCCAACCTATTAGGAGTTTGATGTGCTTCAAATGTAGAACATTATTCATATTTACGAATCCTGGTTTGTTTGAAATGATAATAACAAGTGCTATTTTCTTCTGTGATAGGCTAATTTTTAATATCTTGTCACTGACATTTTTTTTGTTCAGATTTACTTAGTAGGTGGCTACTGTCTTACTTTTTTTTTTAGTTGCATTGAACTCCAAAGCTTCTTGGTCACTTGGTATTTATTTGTGTATGTGTATAAACATTAGCAAAAGGATAAGTTAATTGAGTGAAAGGTCAATGTGGGATTTTTGTAGCTTGGTGGCTTATATCAGAAATTTTGTTAAATGATTCTCTTGAAGATTTAAGACTAAACCCTAACATGATTATTTTTTTGGCCTTTCATACAACTGGCCCGATTGTTATGAGATATAAGGCTTAGTGGTTTTTTTTTTTTTTTTGTTGTATTCTCTTTCTCTGCATGTGGACTTTAGGGGCAATATGCTCCAGTGAGCTGAATTCGATTTAATAAACTGACACTTTTCTCTCTGTTTTTCCTATGTTGTTAAGCAAAACTGGAAGACACTTGAACATTTTAAGTGTTTCTTAAATTTTTGGTAAATCATTTTTGCTGTCATCAGTTTTTTATTTTTTATTTTTTTCTAAATTCCTTTAGTTACGATTTCTGCAGGGCAAACCTGGAGTAACTGGAGCAGTCATGTGGGATAGTGGAGTTGTGTTAGGGAAGTTTCTGGAGCATGCTGTGGACTTGGGGATGCTTGTTCTTCAAGGCAAGAAGGTTGTTGAACTGGGCTCTGGCTGTGGATTAGTAGGGTATTTTTAATAACTTTCTCGGCCTAAATTTTTGTTCTTTTTATTTCATATATTTTTGTCTGGTAGTAAACTCTTTCAATGTTGCTGTGGCTCTTGAAAAAGGAGAAAACTGAAACAGTCTATTTGAATTTCATTCGTGACAATCATATTTGTCATGCTGTTTGGCTCATAGCAACAGAATTTTAGTCCTCTTAAATTTGCATTCAGATTCTTCACATGGAATTCATAATTTTAGTTTCTATTTAGAATTAATTATAAAGATTTTGCCGAAGGTAATTGCTTTTCTCACTTGAAGTATATTATACTTGTCGTGTTTCCAGTTGTATAGCAGCTCTTCTAGGTGCTCAAGTTGTCCTCACCGATCTGCCTGATAGATTGAGGCTACTTAAAAAGAATGTTGAAACCAACTTGAAACATGGAGTGCGGGGTTCTGCTGCTGTGAAGGAACTCACTTGGGGAAATGACCCTGACAAAGATTTGGTCGAATCTCCACCTGATTATGGTAATAAGATTCCCTTATTTCTTCCTAATTGCAAACATTACACTGTTAAGTTACAACTGATTAGTTTGCTAACAAAAATAGGGGATGTTGAGGTTCTTTTCCATGATGATGGAATAAGAGAATGGATTTTCTGGTGGCAGTGGAGTGTTCCAGACATACTTTGTTAGGCAAAGTTCAAGTATAGGATTTATTATCACCCATGCTTTCATCATGTGCGAAAATGCCTACAAGCCATAAACTACTGGTTTCAACTCCAACTATGGCCGATGATTTTGAATTTATAAACTACAGATAGGAAACGAGCAATGAAAACAGATGAAACTAAAACTTATCTTCCGTTACAGATAACTTACTATCTTCCATGTATATTCATGTTAAGTTGTGATAAATCCAACATTATCACATGATAGGCTCGTTGCCCACATTAGAGGGGTAATGTTAAATGAGTATAAAGGGTCTAGAGACACTTGATCTTACCTTTAATTAAGAACCAAAGATATCTGTAACTTTGGATCATAACAAATAAATAGAGAATTTCATTGTCAACTGACGACGGCCGATGTGTTGAAATTTGAATTGATGTTGTTGAAGTCAGAATGCTTAATTCCCTAAATAAACAATTGGAAATTTCTCATGATATCATATATGTTTGGTCAAATTTAATCTTGTCTTCATTGATGATAAGCTACATACACCAGTTTTCTAGTGCTAGGGTCGGATGTGATCTATAGTGAAGGAGCAGTTGTGGATTTATTGGACACCCTTCTACAACTATGTGGGTCACGAACCACAGTGTTTTTGACTGGAGAACTTCGAAATGGTTAGGATCTCTCTCTCTCTCTCTCTCTGTCACACACACACACACACTTATGCACACAATTCTTAAACTTGATCTGGTGCTCCCGATACTTCAAGTGCAGATACTGTCCTCGAATGCTTTTTAGAAGCTGCAGTGAAGGATTTTGTGATTGGGCGTGTGGATCAGTCACAGTGGCATCCAGAATATTGTAGTGCCAGGGTTGTAATGTACATCCTTGTGAAGAAGTGAGGTTAAACAAAAGGTTTACCGCATATTGTTAGTAGATAATAGTCGGATATCCAGTCAGCCAAATGGACAAATGCATTTGAATAACCTAATTCCATCTTTTGGATACACGGATAAGAATGAGCCTATTCTCGAGTTCTTAATCCTGCTTTGCTGTAGCTATTACATACTTGAAAATTTTCCTTGGATTTTTTCTCTTTTTTCTGCTTATTGATTTGTTACTTATGTAATCATTTCTGATTAATTATTATACATTTAGATAAAAATACCTTTTATTTCTCAATCATTTTACAATTTATTTCCTGAGGAATCCCCATTCCTCTTCTTGTATTGAATATATGTAATTTATATACATTGTTTTACATAGAGTTTCATCCATGATAAATGACGCCACATTGTAACAATATAGAAGGAATCAGCAGACAGCAGAGAGAATTAATGTATAACCTATCTGTCTGCGCACAAAAAATATGTATGAAAAGTGATAAATTCAAAGCCTGAAGCTTACATGTATTCGAATATGGCAGCTGTATGATTGAATCCGCATGATATCTGCAACGCTTTAACATTTTCCCCAAAGTGGACCATTGTAGGTTTTATGTAATCTACATCACTTCCATGACCCTGTGCAAAGAGCAATCGGCAAAGTTTGCTTACATTTACATACAATCCTTACCACAAGTCACACAAACAAAGACGACAAGATGAACATCATGAGCACAAAAGTGTTGGGTTTCAGTTACATATAGTAACACGAGCACAAAATAAGCAGCGCAAACTGTATGATCAAGGCAATAATACATCCTAAAAATAGTAATCTGCCAAAAATAACTATATTCGATCACACCAGACAAACAAAAGGAAAAGCAGTTAGCTTGTAGAATTCTCGGAATTTGTTTTATATTTTGTTCCCTAGTGGCTATGCCTGATACTATCTGAGTTCCTACAGGTAACATAGCAAGAACTATCGAGAGAACAAAAAACTGGGGAATAAAGACGAGGTAAGAAGGGTCATGCTTAATCTTGAATAACTTATTGATGCCAGATGAAGTAATAAGGAAATGCATTAAAAACTTATTAAGGCTCAGTCAAGCAAAATTTTAATTTGCAGGAGGTACAGCAAGATAAGGGGTGCTATTATTGAGGAATTGCAAGCATTTTAATTTCATTGAGCTTGAGAGCTCGAGCTTGGCTCTAGCATTGAGTTTGCTCTAGTAATAGAGCTTGACTTCGTGGAGCTCAAGTTAAAGAATTCCCCGAATGGGCAAGCTTCAGCCTCATACAAATTAAAATGGTGAAATTCTGCAAGAAAAGCTCAACGCTCGATAGACGCACTTTAAGGATCTAAAGTGATGATTTTCTTAGAGAACCAAGGGGATTTATGTCTTTGTGTGTGTGATGATGGAACTGTATACATGGGTGCATATTCGCACAAATGCACTTACGTGCTGAGTTGCAAAGGAATTCTACATTCATTGAAGGGTGGCAATTGAAATTTAAAATGAAAAAAAAAATCTCAATTTAATTTTTTGGTCCTTTCATATCCAAGACATTTCAATTGGTTGATTTCAGGTTTTTGAGTAAATATAGGTTTAGGTCACTTCAAATTTCCCTATACTTAGATTTGATTGCTGACATTTCAAATAAATTTGGGGTGGGTTGGTATGGTCAATCAACTCATTCAGGTTGGATCAGCTCAGCTTTGACCATCTCTAAGCTCATGCAAAGCATACTTGAATTGCACATACAAATGTGCATAAGAGGTAGCACCTAAACCAACCTGGAGCATACTTGATTAATGAACAAATAGTTCAATTGTTGGTAACTGAACCTTGGGGCTTCTTCAATGAAATCTAAAGAGTGAGAATGAGGCAAGTTGGGTTTTCAAATAGATGTACCATTATGGTTTGACTAATCAACATATTCTCTAAGAACCCAGAGGAATAATGTATCAATGAAAGCCAGCATCTATCTACCTATGTGTACATTACCATGTGTGTGTTTTTGAGTACCAAAGGGATCCTAAGCTCACTAAAAACATCTTGAACAGCCTATACATGTAAGCCTCAAAATGCAATAAAACTACATTAGTAAAATAGATTTCTCCAAATGGAGCCTATTTAATAGGCATCTTGGACATGGAATACATAGGAAATACAATGATAAACGACAAAGCAACTATGCTCCAGCAGTCCTTTTTTCCTCTTTTCACTCTTAAAAATGTCATAAGAATTTTTTGTCAATTACTTTTCATTTTAAAGTTTACTCTTAAGATTTATAGTGAGCAAAAAGGTAAGGAAAGTGAACAACAAAAACTCTAGTTAACACACCAATTTGGTCCAATTTTTGGCATCAACTCCCTAGCTGCATCGAATTTAAAGCAAATCCCATACCCATGCCAAGTCTAGTCATGCTGACATGGGTACTCAAACAAAATCAGGAACATCTCCTTCTTCTTGTTCTTTTGGTACATGACGTTACCAAACAAAGCAAAAATGAAACTAAAAACAATGAAGTTTTAGTAGCCCTAGTGCTTTCATATAGAACCACACTACAAGAATTATGATAATAATTGATTCAACTATTGTTTCTTAGATCAATGCAAAATGAGAAATAATAGAATGTTAATAACCGAAGAGGAATAGAAGCAAACCAGTTGTCCACCAGAGGAATGCCCATCTTCAGAAAATGTTCCATAAGAACCTCCCCAACCCCATGTGAAGACCTTGCCATCTGGACATGAATTGCAAATGCACATTTCTCACTCTACCCATTCCGAAGAATAATTAAGCATTTAATCATTTGTACAGTATGGCACAACCACTACATTAAGCTCAAGTATATTGTACAGTTGCTTTACATCTTAATTTTATGATTCTTTAGTCTAAAACTGCAGCTTTTTTTTTTTTTTTAATTTCTCAAGATTTTAGTGTCAACAGAATTTTTGAAAATTCCCAGCAGGTGCGCTGGAAACTGCAAATACTGAGTCCTGGAGTGTTATATTGGGTCTTCTAATCATGATTTAGGAGCTTTTCCTTTTCTTCAATTTGTTAGTTTCCTATTCAAGGCCTAAGACTTTGTTTAAGTCATTACGTGACTAGAAATTAATATTGAGCAAATTCTTATAAATTTTTAGCTTGAAATGTCTAGTCAACACTAAACATGTAGGAACATATATAAATTGAAAAATAGGTGTCGTAAGAATTTATCCCTGTTTCTATTTTATAATTCTAACAAGTGATAGAAATGAAGGTAATTTTTATGCGCTTTTTGATCCCACAATAAGTTCTTACCTGAAATCGCTGCTGTATGCTTCCAACCACAGGAGACCTGTGAATGCACATTTGTCATAAAAAGTAGAAGTTTGAAGTATATGCAAGAATGTAATGCAAGATCCAGGCATCAGCACAGGGAGCTTGGTTGCTTTTGTGACTTTTTAATCTGCCGTTCTTCCAATTGAGAACGAAGAGCAACAGTATCAACCAACTTAAACAATATTACCCATGTTTCTATTATGATTGACTAAATCTCATTGATATAGTAATGAGACATATCCAACTTTCAATCAAACAGAAGCACAAACCTTGCAAACAGAAGATTTCAGAAAGGGACCTTGAACTCTTTCCGGTACATGAAAAACATCCGTAGAACTGCCAAAAACAAAAGATTGACCAATTTTAAAGATATCAGAATTCTATGATTCAAAATGAAAGCATAAAAAGATGAAAAATCAATTTCTCAAGTTAAGGTTTTAAAATGAAGTCTCAATTGAAATACCCGATACCAAGGCAACCATTCTCATTTGAGCCCCAAGTGTAAAGCTCCCCACCTCCTATGAGAAAAGTGATGAAAAGAAACAAAAGTAAGATTAGACTTAGATGCAAGCACAAAAGAATCTTAAGCTCATTAAAGCAGGGAAAGGATGGTGAGATAAGGAGAAAAAGAGAATAAAGCATAAAGATTTTGGCTAGTTTCTTTCCCTAGAAGGAAATATTAGATATATCAACTTCAAGATGCTTATGCAGAGAACTTATAAATCATATGAAATAAATATTATCGGATTTGGTGCATAGATGTCAAATAATGAAATATACATGTTTCTTTGTACAGAACCCTTAAACAAGCTATAAAACAATAGACATAGCTAGGACAACATAGGATTGTAATTCTTGTCATTACAAGGAACGCTGGCCCCAGTTTTCGATCAAGAGTTTAAGGATTGAAGACAAATCCTCCTAGTTATGCCAATGTTCCATACAAAGAGACAACAAAATCCAATATTCCAAAAGGTATCTCAACTAAAATGTATTTGCAAACTCCTTTCCCACTAGTAGGTAAAAAAGCAAAACTAAATAGTATCAGTAATTTAAATCATCTAAAAGAAAAGAAAATAATCAGATATGATAATGATAATTGAGACCATTAAAAATACAAAAACTAATAAAATAAATCCCTCATTATTGTATATCCTCCACATATATCACTCTCCTCTTGTTGGAGAAAATCAACCTCAAATAAAGTGTTAAAGAAGACACTTCCAATTTTAAAAATAGCTTCTTTGCTGATGACCGAGAGATTTGACTCTTGATGCAACTTCATCTTTTCCTTGAAACCACCAAGATTGATAAGAAAACAATCATTCTTGTCTTCCACAATGTCAAAATAGGAATAATAAAATCAACAATTAGGCCATCTACCAAAGTAGGAGGAGATTCATCACCATCCAAGATATCCTACTTCAACTTAATTTCTAAGAACATCCTAATCCACCTTTAAGCTACCTGACTGAGTTTCAATCATCTTCACATTTGCCACTTTTTCATCCTTAAAATCCAAATTTTCTCTTTCCTGGTCATCCTTTTTTAACTCGAATGTTTAAATTATTTTCTTCCTTGATGATCTCTAGAACTATCATTCATGACATCAACTTTCAACTTGCACTTTATTTTCAAGCATGTAAGGGAACACGACTGAGACCACATGTCCAAAAATGAATCCATATCTCGCAATTGCAGTAATTTATTATAAACATATTGTTTTTTCTATTCTTCTAGCCTTTGCTTATCAACCTATATTATGGGAAAATAGTTATTTATAGCTGGATGTAATTAGTAATCTGTATATTTATATTTGTATCTCTAGAATTAAGTATTTGTATCCCTAAAATTAAGGACAAAAAATTAGGATAGACAATCCCTCAATTATAGGATTAGTTTTAGGAAGATTTAGTTTCCTAGCTTACCCACTAGTTAGTTGTATATAAACCTAAGGTGCTTGTATAATTCTTAATGAGCAGTTTTTCAATATTCATTCAGTTTTACTCTAGTTTCCCACACAATTTTTTTTCACATGATATCAAAGCATTAGGCCCTTCTTAGGAAGAAAATTTTTTCAACCTTCATTGCTGAATTCTATTTCAGGCCTTCATAGCCAAATCTTGTTAAATCTTTCAGTCTTATTTTTTCCTTCTTTGGCCTATATTGCCTAGAATCGTCTCTAGTAACACCTTTACTATCAAGACTCCTTTTAGTCTTGAGAAAGATAAAGATGCCAAAGATAGCAAAATCTACCACTACTACCCGATTTGAGGAAGTGACAACGGGTAAAACTATCGGAGTACCACAGAAGTCTCAAGAACAAAGACAATTGGACAGAGAAGAGATTGAAAAACTAAGAAGCCTATTGAAAACTCTTGAAAAGTCTACTAGGGTATGTTCTTTGGGTAAGGTCTCTAGTTCAGGTAAAGCTTCTGGCTCTCATGGATTAACTCAAAAGCCACAAACCATATGACACATTCCTCACAAAAGTTTAGTACATATACCCTATGCCCTAGTAATAAGAAAATTGTAGTTGTAGATGGTTCACTTACTACAATGACAGAATTAAGAGATGTTCAAATTAATCCCTTGTTTGTTCCTAAAAATGTTCTTCATGTTCCTAGATTGTCTACTAATCTGATATCCATACAAAAACTTAGAGACAGGAACTGCAAAGTGACTTTTTATCCCTCCTATTGTGAATTTCAAGATCAGAGTTCAAGGAAGAGGATCGAACTCGCTAAGAAAAAAGATGGACTATACTATCTTGATATATCAAAACATAAGTAATATCAAGAATAATTTACCTTTGTCATTTCTTTCTAAAACATATCCCAATAAAGACAAAATCTGGCTTTATCATTTTCGTCTTGGACATCCTTCATTTGGGACCTTGAAAAACATGTTTCCTTCTTTGTTCAAAGGATTAAATGCTGAAAATTTTCATTGTGATGTTTGTGAACTTGCAAAGCATAGATGTGTCTTTTCCAGTTAACAACAAAAGAAGTTCTACTCCTTTTTACTTGATTCATAGTGACATATGGGGTCCCTCTACAATTCCTAATATTTTTGGTGCAAGTTGGTTTGTTTCTTTCATAGATGATTGTACTAGGGTCACTGGGATATTTTTACTTAAATCCAAATTAGATGTGAATAGTGTGCTTTTAAGCTTCCAAAACATGATTCAAAATCAATTTGGAGTGAAAATCAAGAGATTTAGGTCTGATAATGAAGAGACTATTTCAACCAAAGTCTATCTACCTATTTTCAAAATGAGGGGATTATCCATGAGTTATCTTGTGTTAATACTCCATAGTAGAATGAAGTGACAGAGAGGAAAAACAGTCATTTACTAGCCATAACCCAAGCTTTACTTTTTCAAGCAAACATACCTAAATCCTATTAGTGGGGAAGTTGTTCTCACTACCACACGCATTATAAATAGGTTACCTTCAAAGGTTTTGGGATTTAAAACTCCTATGAAACTACTCTCACAATTCTATCCCAACTTTAATACCACAAACAACCTCACAAGTAAGATATTTGGTTGTACATCATTTGTTCATGTTCACAGTCATAATAGGGGGAAATTGGATCCTAGAGCAGTTAAGTGCATTTTTGTGAGGTATTCATCAACTTAGAAAGGGTATAATGTTATCATCCTCCTACCAAAAAATTATGTGTCCGCAAATGTCACTTTTGAAAAATGTAAACCAATTTTTACTCAACCTTATCTTTAGGAGGAGACTTCATTCATGGAAGATAAGGATAAAGACTTCATTTTGCTTGACTTGTCCTCCTCTTCAACATTTTCACCTATTAATTCTTTCGAGTCTAAACCTGTTTCTTTCGAGTCCAAGTCAAACACTGAATTTGAGTCTAAATCCATTTCAAATACAAAAGATGTGACAAAGGATAATATTGTTCTTGATTCTATGAAGGAATTACATGAGTACTCAAGAAGGAAAGTTCCAGGTCTTGAATCGGTGTAAGTCTAAGAACCTGATCCTAACCTTCGAAATGAGGTAACTACAATCTCTAACTCTATTTCTCAAAATGAGCATGAATCTCCTAAAACTATAACTAGTGATTATGTTTTGCCTATTGCCATTAGGAAAAGAACCAGAGAATGTACTAAGCATCCACTATACCCAACCTCTAATTTTGTGTCATTTGAAAAATTCTCTCCATCCCACAGAAATTTCCATGTGAGCCTCAACACTATTTTTATTCCAACTACATTATCTGAGGCATTATCCGAGGCATTATCCAATGAGAAATGGAGGCAAGCCATGAAAATAGAAATAAAGGCCTTAGAGAAAAATAAGACATGGGAACTAGTAAAGTTGCCTAAAGGAAAAAATCCAGTTGGGTAAATGGGTTTTCACTATAAAATACAAGGAAGATGGTATTGTAAAAAGGTATAAGGCCAGGTTGGTGGCTAAAGGCTACATTTAAACTTATGTAGTAGATTATCAGGAAACTTTTGCTCTAGTTGCCAAGATGAATACAATTAAGATTTTGTTATCCTTGGCTGCAAATTACAATTGGCAGCTTAAACAATTTGATGTAAGGAATGCTTTTTTACATGGTGATTTGGAAGAAGAAATATATATGAAAGTTCCACCAGGATTTGGAGGTCATCTAGAAGCAAACAAAGTATGCAAGCTGAAAAAGGCTTTATATGGCCTTTAAACAGCCTCCTAGGGCTTGGTTCGGGAGATTTGCCAAAATGATGCTAGCAATAGAATATAAGCAGAGTCAAGGAGATCACACATTTTACTAAACACTTGGATTTAGGGAGAGTCACAGTTCTATTAGTGTATGTTGATGATATAATTGTAACCAAAGATGATGAAAAAAAGAGAATCTCTAAAACAGTGTTTGGCTAGAGAATTTAAGATAAAAGAACTTGCAAGATTGAAGTACTTCGTAGGAATTGAAGTAGCCCACTCACCACATGGTATTTTCATCTCACAACAGAAATATGTAACGTATCTTTTGAAGGAAACTGGGAAGCTTGCATGTAAACTAGCAAATACCCTTATAGACCCTAATCAAAAACTTGGAGAAGCTAATGAAAATGCTACTATAGATAAAGAGATGTACCAGAGATTAGTTGGAAGACTCATTTATCTCTCACATACTAGACCTGATATAGCATATGCTATGAGTGTGATAAGTCAATTTATGCATAGTCTTAAAAAAGTGCACCTCCAGGCTATCTACCGTGTATTACACTATTTGAAGGACAATCTTGGGAGAGGTATCTTGTTCAAAAGAAATTTGAGGCTATTTCTAAAGGCATATACGATGCAGATTATACAAGTTCAATAACTGATAGAAGATCAACCTCAGGCTACTGGACTTTCCTAGGTGGTAATCTTGTGACTTGGAGGAGTAAAAAATAGAATGTGGTGGCAAGATCAAGTGCTAAAGCAGAGTTTAGAGCAATGGCTCAAAGAATTTGTGAATTACTATGGTTAAAGATTATCCTAGAAGACTTGAAGATCAAGTGAGATGGACCAATGAGACTCTACTGTGATAACAAGTCCGCAATGAGCATCGCACACAATCCTATGCAACATGACAAAACAAAACACATTGAAGTAGATTGGCACTTCATAAAAGAGAAACTAGATAATGGGTTGATTTGTAGACCATATGTATCAACCAAGGGTTAGCTTGCAGATGTGTTGACTAAAGGTCTCAACAGTGCAATATTTTAGGAAATTATTTCCAAACTGGAAATGAAAAACACCAATTCACCAGCTTGAGAGGAGTGTGGGAAAACACTTATTTACAGCTGGTTGTAATTTGTAATCTATACATTTACATTTGTATCTCTAGAATTAAGTATTTGTATCTCTGGAATTAAACATTTGTATCTCTAAAATTAAGAACAGAAAATTAGGATAGACAATCCCTCAATTCTAGGATAGGAAGATTTAGTTCCCTAATTTACTCACTAGTTAGTTATATATAAACCTAAGGTGCTTGTAGAATTCTTAATGAGCAGTTTTTTAATATACATTCAATTTTACTTTTAGTTTTCCACACAGTTTTATTTCTTAGTTTTTCCACATATATAATTCTTGAGACTATACTATTCATAAACTATTGAAGCAAGAAATTTTTGACAGCCACATCCATTTACAATTTTTAAACAGTAAAAATGTTTTCTATGTACTTCTATAGCATGACTGTTATTTGGAAGTATTTATTTTTACCTTAAACTTTCAGTAGAAAAATTTATCCTGGTTTATAATTTATAAACAGTAAAGAGTATGGTAAGGTAGTTAAAGAGCATGGAACATCTTTATACATAAGGATCAAATTACATACTCCCTTGTATTACCAGCTGACGTACCTGTCCGATCTATTAACTCCTTTATACCATTTATTTGTCCTAAATAAAAACAAGAAAAAATATATAATAATGAAGATAGAGAATTACTTGTTACAACACATGTGTGGTAGCCACCACATGCAACTTCTTCTGAATATGGCAATGAGTTGATCATGGATGGCATTGTTGCATTCTTGGCCTCCCCAAATCCCTAAAATATTTTCATTAAAAGATCATCACTCAAAAGATTCTATATGATTAGAAACATGAACTGTGATGTTTAAAACTGACAATTTTTAGAACTTACAAGGCTAGTTTCCACTTTCTCCCCGAAAATAAATAAAGATCCAGTTTCTGCAATACCTAGACAAATTAAAGATCTGAAAAAAAAAGTTTGGAATATGTCCAGTAATGAGGTCACAAAAGATGATTAACCATAAGTAAAATCATTTTAAATTACCATCAATGCAGGCTGAATGCAGCAACCCAGCAGCAACTTTTTTTACCTAACGAAGGAATCAATAATGAAGCCAAATGACCACAACTTATGATGAGAAATACACCAATAAAAAATTCAAAATTTAACAAGTAAAAATTACCTTGATACCTTCTAATTTCTTTATAAGCCTTGGTGTATATTCACTGCAAAGAATATAAATATCTATTTTTATACTTAAAAGCATCACTGTGAGAAAACAAAAAGCTCAAAATGAAAGGAGAACAGAATTTTAATAAAAAAAAAAAAAAAAACAGTTCAATTGCCAAAAGAAAGAGTAAGAAAAAGACAAACAAAAAATGTAGAAAGAAGGAAAAGGAGAAAATAAAACAAACGGTACACTGTTTCTAGGCAACAAAAAAATTAATGCAGTTGTGTCCATATCAAACTCTAATAGAACCTGATACTCTGCATTCTCATATACTCTTAAGTTTCTACATATTGGTCACACTGCAAACACCTAGGAGACATTGCAAATGACCATGTATTTTCTTTCTTATATTTCACTAAATTATCTCAAATTTTAAAATGTTCGTCCTAGACCCAAAAAAACATATTCTTGTCTGCATCTATAGACAAGAGCAGCAGCATTACTAACATCTCCAACTACTTGAAATAGGAGATTCCCAATCTAATCTAAAATGATTGAGTGGGCCCCGGCAATAGCAGCCATTCACCAGTCTTTATTTCCGTTGTTGTCTTAGACAA